CGATACCGTGCATCTGCAGCTGAAACATGTCCTCATAGGGATCAGAGGCAGAGTGGAAGTGCTTGAGATCCGCGATCCATTTCTGCCCGTCACGGTTTTTTCCGTTCATCAGAGCCGAGAACAGCTGCACCTCGGAGAGGCCCAACGGGATGTTGCGCAGGACGATGTGGGTTTCGCCACGCTCCTTGGCCGCGGTGAACTCTGGAGCAGGATCGATGTAAACCTTCAGCTCGACAGTCGGGCCGTTGGGGCGAAAAGAACATCGGGGGCCGAGCACGAAAATCGTCAGCCGCTTCCTTGTTGGGAAACTGGAGGATCTGACGGGAGTAGGGTATTCTTCCCAAACTTGAGATTGGCACCTGCCATGGACTTGAAGGTAGGGATCTGCCAATTTTTTAAGTCAGAACGACGAAGGCTCTTTTTGATGCAGTTAACAATGTCCTTGCGGTGCTTATCAGCAAGATGTTCAGGAAAAAGGACAGCGACCAGAGAGTCCAGGTCGCGTTCGACGTCAGCCACAGTCTCTCCGACCGAATCACGCTGAGCATACAGCCGACGGAAACGTTTGCCAGGGACCCCAAGGGAGGGAGCGGAGGAGACTTCCGCGTTCGTAGCCGGGGCCGACCGAGGAGCTGCGGTCGGAAGCTTAGAGGAGGAAGAAGAAGCGGCTTTGCACACCTTTTTGGCAACGGGGGACCCGTCACCAAGAAGATCACTGAACGAGGGGGTGATCCCCGCGTTATCTGCCATAACCGCGTCGAAGGCAGAAGAGTGCTCCATAGTCCGCTGTGGAGAGAAGCAGACCAGTAGGGAGGTGCACGGAAACACTAAACGGGAGGAAGCTAAATAATCGGCCTTTCCCCAGGTAGAGAGACGAGGCGCGATGTTACGGAAGGCGAAGAGGAGAGGATGAGGCAAGAACGCACGAGGCGCGAGGTGGCTAGGGCTTTCGCCATTGCGCACCGAGGGTTGATGGACCAGCTCACAGAGGAATGTGTGAGAGGCATCGAGTGTGAGATCACCCAGGAGGTCAGCTGGCGTCAGAGAGTGCCAGTCTGACGAAGGATCAGGCCATGCAGGCCCGAAGCAGCGAGAAAGAAGAAGCCGGCGTGTTTCGGACACGAACGCTGAAGAAAACGTGAGGTGGTTGGGCTGGCCGGAGGGGTTGCAGTGTGGATTGAAACAGAAGCTGAGTGAACAGATATGTCACGAGTGAGAACACATTTTGGGGGTAACCCGTGTTTTCCAGGCCCAGAACACATATTTTTCTGCCCCGACTCGAAGGGAAAGTTGTCCTAGTGGTTGGGCAGCACGATTCGGGCAGATCAGTTGTCCTCAGTTCTGCCTCCTTGATCAGCCACCAGACCAACCATAGTGGTCCCACACCTGACATTTCTTCTCTTGCCTGACAAAGCGCCTGCCTGCATTCCCGACACAGGTTCTTGAAAGGGCAGGTACATGTTCTGAAGTTTCCAAGGCCGCAAGCTACTGTTTCCTCAAAGTACCGGAAATGACAAATTCCAGATAGCAACCCAAAACAAAGGACAGAGGGACAGAACAACCGCTAGACTGAAAGTCGGATCAGAAATCCATCATGAGACTGCACTGGAAGGTGAGCAAACCCGTGATATAGACACTAGTAGTAACATTTCGTGTAAAGTGGGGGGAGAACCCCATTGATATTACCCCGGCTGTCAGTCGTAAATCCGCCAATCCGCGTTGAGAGACACACACACACGAAACCTTGCCTGGTGTTGATCTCTAAAACCGCCTCTTTCTTTCAGTTTGAATTTTGCGTGTGGTGTCGTTCATGTTTAGGAGGCTCTGTGACGTGAGATGCGTTGAGGTCGAGATACTCTTGTAATCGCTTGCCGATTTGTCTTTTGAGCGAGCATAAGTGGAGACGTACACGTTTCCAACGACTTTTAGAGCTGCGGGACTACCACTGCTTCGAAGCTTCCAGCAGAGATCTATGCTTCCTGGAGACTTTTCTTCTAGATCTTTAGGCTTCCAGGCGTTTAGACATTCAGACTTCCAGCCTTCCAGGCCATGGTGGCCTGGAAACCTCCTCTCTCCAGATCCGTAATGAGCCGCGCGATCATCAGCCTGAAAAAGCAGCGTCATTCCTGGTTTCGTCCGAATATGGCTTGCGCCACCAATTCATGGCGGATCGGCTACAGCCGCGCCGCGATCCAGATATTTCTGATAGCGTTTTTCGCGCTGAACGCCGTTCTCGCTTGTCTCTACGCGACCGGTTTTTTCACGAGCGAGTCGTTGGAGAAGCAGAAGGAGGAGATCGTGCATCTATGGCAGTCGTGCATCTACAACCGCTTCGCGCACATCCATAGATTCCAACACCCCTTCCTCCGCCCCGAGCCGTGCTCCGAACTCACTATGGCCGCCGCGAAACGCGGAGAAGCAGGCTTGAAACGAGCGCGATACTCGAGAGTCCCTGGTTACTACCACCCGGATATTGTCGACGGGTGTGCTTCTAGCGAAGGTTCGACGGGTTCGACGGATTTTTCTGGAAGATCGACGGAGGGTTGTCAGCTCGAGTGGGTAGTGTACTCCACGGAGTGCGGAGTGAATCTGAACCGTCTAGCTAAGCTCTGCCACGTGGCAGGAATCCCGCTAGCCGTGGTCGGGCTGAAGACGATGTGGAGGGGATTCGGTGGCAGGCTCAGGATTTTCAGGGACTATCTGCACTCCTTACCGGCTGACAGGATAGTAATTGTCTCCGACGCTGATGACGTGTTCGTACTGCCAGCTCAGCACTGCCGTCCGGTTGACATCATCCATAAGTTTCTGGATCTGGGTTCGCCGATGGTTTTCGGCTCGGAAAAATACTGCTTTCCTGATTGGTGGCTCTATCAAGATTTGTACCCGAAGCCGTCCCGAGATACCCCTTTTAAATACGTGAATGCTGGCACGTATATGGGCTTCGCATGGGCTATCGCGAGCGCCATTGACGCTGCTTACATAGGGGATTGCCTGGACGACCAACGGCAGTTCATGCTCGTCTTCCTCGGGCAGGACAAACTTTTCAAAGGCCTGCCCCGTGCTCCGACCCCATTCACCCACGGCCAAAAATTCTCCCGCTTGAAGAAGCCTCCACGGGTCACTCCTTCCCTGGTCCTACCATCCCCTCCATCCGCTATAGAAGATTCAGCTGCTCGCTCTTCTCTCTCCTCCTCCCTTTCTTCAAATTTTCTCAATTCAAACGCCAGCAATACTCCTCGGTTTATTCAGCTGGATTATTTCAACTCCATTTTCCACCTGCTGGGGGGGTTTGGAGCAGAGGCGTTGGAGATAGAGGGGGACGGGAGGGGCGGGAGGAGGGAGATGCGGGTGCGGTCGAGGTTTACAGGCGGCGAGGCGTGCGTGTTTCACCAGCAGGGGAACAAGACGGGCGATCTGGCCATGTTTGATGTGTTCAACACCACAGGGATGGAGGTGTTGTTTGATTGAGCAGCACGAGGGGTGGGAAGAGGGAGATGCGGGTGCGGTCGAGGGTCACAGGTGTGTGCTTCACCAGCTGGCGAATTGGCCTTGTTTGATGTGTTAAACATTACAGGGATGGAGGTGCTGTTTGATTGAGCTGCTGACTGTGTGGTTGACACAAAATGCAGGCATTGGATATGTACAGTACAGTGTACATGAAAGGGTGTGTTTTTGTTAGTGGGCAGAGCACTCTCTGTCTGTCCCTCCCTTGGCTGCCATACATCATATACGGTACTGCCCCTGCAGTCTCAGAGGTACTGCTGGGCCGATCACTTCAGTGACCCACAACTTCATGTTCTCTAGTTTTTTTCCAACGGCTTTTTTGTAAATGGCATGTGAATGCCAGAGTTGCTTTCCGAGTGCTTTGTCAGGGATGGGTGCGTGTTCACTGTTCAGCCCAAAACCTGCCCTGCATCAGGTTTAGGATGCTTCCACTCAGCTATATTTGACCCTCGTACCCTGACAATGAGTCGTCGTACATATTCTTCACTTTCCCTTGTGCACTGCTGCTGTGCACTGCTGCTCCTCCGGTTGAACACTGACCGGACAATGACCAGGCATACTGGCATTACGCAAAAAGGAGCTCCCAACATGAATGGCAAAGAGACACATCCATTCAACCTAAATCAAATACTGTCAAAACTGGCGGACCAGCAGAACTCGATAAGCGCAAAAACTGCAGCACCAACGCAAGCACCGTGCCTCATCCAACACCAAGGGCAGTCAAGTGCCTCATACACTGCTGCTTCCAGCCTCTGCCTGCTCCGTGCTTTCATCCATCCACACATGTAGCACACATGTACGGTACCTTAACACCACGGTACCTTAACACCCATTCTTTGAGTCGTTTCGCTATAGCTCACACCAGCTCTCCCACCTGCCCCGTACTTCATGCGCTGCTGCCTGTCGTGTGCCTCCATCACCACTGCATACAGCACATGCATACAGCACATGCATACAGCACATGCATACAGCACATGCATACAGCACATGCATACAGCACATGCATACAACACATGCATGCACATGCATACAGCACATGCATACAGCACATGCATACAACACATGCATACAGCACATGCATACAGCACATGCATACAGCACATGCATACAGCACATGCATACAGCACATGCATACAGCACATGCATACAGCACGGTACATACAGCACGGTACATACAGCACGGTACATACAGCACATGCATACAGCACGGTACATACAGCACATGCATACAGCACGGTACATAAAGCACGGTACATACAGCACGGTACATACATCACATATATCACAAGTAGAGCACAATACAGCTCCAATCGCTGTGTTGATTCGACTGATGCTGGCTCTCCTGCCTTCCCCCTACTTCATACACTGCTGCCTGTCGTGTGCCTCCATCACCACTGCCTCCAGCCTCTGTCGCACATCCTCCATCATGTGGGCATACACATGAAGCACACATGCATATCGCACATATTGCAGACATGCAGCGCCCACCTGTCCCACTACTTCATGCACCGCTGCCTGTCGTGTGCCTCCATCACCACTGCTTCCAGCCTCTGCCGCACATCCTCCATCATGTGGGCATACATGCGCCTCGTCTCCTCACTCCCCACTGCCATCACATTCCCTATCCTCCTCCTCAGCGCTGCTGCCTCCGCTTCCCTCTCCACCTCCTTCCTCCCTTCCTCCATCCTCTCCTCATTCACAATCTCCGCTTCTCCTTCACCTTCTCCTGCCCCAGTCTCCAATCTGTGGTCGATTCCTTGTGCCCGTTCTGACCGTTCCCCACGCTGCATCAGCTCCTGTAACCGCTGAGTCAGCACCTCGGGCGAGTGGAGTAGAGCGTCAGCGCCAAATGTCGGCAGCTGGGGGCGCCACGTGGGATCCAGGGAGGCGGGAGGAGAGGTGGCCGTTGTTTGCCTTTCTTGTTGGTAATTGGAAGCAGCATGGCTGCTGTGTCTGCTGTCACTCATACTTCTACTGCTGCTGCTGCTGCTGCTGCCATTGTCACTGCTGCTGCTGCTGTGGGCTGGGGGGGAAGCATCGAGCCGAACAGCTTCCTTGGCTTGCTGGCGCAGAGAGGGAAGGTCAAAGGAGAAGGGCTCCCCCACCACCACGCTCACACGCTGGTTCCACAGTGGTATCAACGGCCGCTTGTTGTTGCGGTAGTTCTGAGGGATGATCTGCAGCATGCAGGGGGGAGACGGAGCGAAAATCAGCAATTCAAGAAGCTCTATAGAGGAGAAGGGCTCGCTCACCACCACACTCGCGCTAGTTCCACAACGGTATCAATGGCCGCTTGTTGTTGCGGTAGTTCTGTGGGATGATCTGCATGCAGGGAGGGAGAGGGGAAGGAGAGAGAAGTGGCAACTCGAGAAGCATTATGAACGAGAGAGGTTCGCCCATCACCACGCGCACGCACTGGTTCCACAGGGGTATCAACGGTCGCTTGTCGTTGCGGTAGTTCCGCGTGATGATCTGCATGCAGGGAGGAGATGGGGGAGAGAGAGAAGCAGCAAGTTAAGAAGCGATATGATCTGCAATGCGGAAGGAAGGGATGGGATGGTGGAGGAACGAAGAAAAAAACAATCAGAGGCAGTCCAGCGGACTGGCGAGTCAAGCGGGATGCAGAGCAGCAGGCATGGGCCCACCCCCCCTTTCCCCACACCCACTCACCCTCTTCCTCAGCACCCACTCACCCGCTCCAAGCCACTATGCCCCACGCAGAGCAGGATGGGCGGCGGCAGCGAGGGGCAGAGGCGGTCCAGCAGACTGGCGAGTTAAGTGGGAGGCAGAGAGGGGGTGCAGAGACAGCCTTCCCTCAAACCCACTCACCCGCTCAAGGCCGCTGTGCCCCACGCAGAGCAGGATGGGCGGCGGCAGCGAGGGGCAGAGGCGGTCCAGCAGACTGGCGAGTTAAGTGGGAGGCAGAGAGGGGGTGCAGAGACAGCCTTCCCTCACACCCACTCACCCGCTCAAGGCCGCTGTGCCCCACGCAGAGCAGGATGGGCGGCGGCAGCGAGGGGCAGAGGCGGTCCAGCAGACTGGCGAGGCCCCACTTGAGGCGCGGCAGGGGGCCGTGCTGCTGTATGATGCGCGCCTCTGGGAAGATGTTGAGCTGAAAGTGAAGGGGAAGGGGAGAAAGGGAGAGAAAAGAGTATAAGGTTACTTCAGTTACCCACTTGAGGCGTGGGATGGGGCCGTGCTGCTGTATGATGCGCGCCTCTGGGAATATGTTGAGCTGGAAAAGAATGGGGGGGGGAGGGGGGAAGACGGGAAAGGGGGGAAGGGAACAAAGTGCTTATAAGGCTAATCTAGTTAACCACTTGAGGCGTGGCAGGGGGCCGTGCTGCTGAATGATTCTCGCCTCTGGGAAGGTGTTGAGCTGAAAATGAAGGGGAAGGGGAGAAGGGGAGGAAAAAGAGTATAAGGCGACTCCAGTTACCCACTTGCGGCGCAGCAGGGGGGCGTGCTGCTGTATGATGCGCGCCTCTGGGAATATGTTGAGATGCAAATCGGGGTGGGGGGTGGGGAGGATGGAAGGACAAAGTGGTGGTAAGTTTATTTGCTCAACCCACTTAAGGCGGCTTTTCACAGTCCCACAGGTGTAGCTACAGCGCTTACCCAGCCGCCCTGATTTATTAGTAAAAGCTACCCAATCACTCAGGTGTACTTGCAAAAACTTACCCAGTCGCCTTGCTGCAATCGCAGCAGAGCCTCGTCCATGCCTGGTTGAAACACTCCCTCGTTGCGCGTTATCGGAATGCTCTTGCCTGTCGGGATGACATGTGTTAGAGCGACATGTGTGCATGGTTAGGCAGAGAGGGGGACGGGAAAGATGGGAGGGAGAGAGGGAGGTTACAACACTCCCTGGTTAAACGGCATGTGAATGCTCTTTTCTGTCAAACATACAGCGGGATGCTGACAGGAAAACCCACAGGAAAGTGAAAACCCTTTGGAATGGACGCTTGACTGGTTGTTTCGAGGGCAAGGAACATCCAGCGAGGCAGCTTGACAGTCTAGGTTAAGGATAAAAGAACCGCCGGAACCTAGTATGGATGAAAAAATGGAATAAGAGAAATGTACTTGGACATTGGGTGAAACGCGTACTGAATTGACTTTTGAGTCGACTCAAAAGTCAACCCTAGTATGGATGAAAAAATGGAATAAGAGAAATGTACTTGGACATTGGGTGAAACGCGTACTGAATTGACTTTTGAGTCGACTCAAAAGTCAACCCTAGTATGGATGAAAAAATGGAATAAGAGAAATGTACTTGGACATTGGGTGAAACGCGTACTGAATTGACTTTTGAGTCGACTCAAAAGTCAACCCTAGTATGGATGAAAAAATGGAATAAGAGAAATGTACTTGGACATTGGGTGAAACGCGTACTGAATTGACTTTTGAGTCGACTCAAAAGTCAACCCTAGTATGGATGAAAAAATGGAATAAGAGAAATGTACTTGGACATTGGGTGAAACGCGTACTGAATTGACTTTTGAGTCGACTCAAAAGTCAACCCTAGTATGGATGAAAAAATGGAATAAGAGAAATGTACTTGGACATTGGGTGAAACGCGTACTGAATTGACTTTTGAGTCGACTCAAAAGTCAACCCTAGTATGGATGAAAAAATGGAATAAGAGAAATGTACTTGGACATTGGGTGAAACGCGTACTGAATTGACTTTTGAGTCGACTCAAAAGTCAACCCTAGTATGGATGAAAAAATGGAATAAGAGAAATGTACTTGGACATTGGGTGAAACGCGTACTGAATTGACTTTTGAGTCGACTCAAAAGTCAACCCTAGTATGGATGAAAAAATGGAATAAGAGAAATGTACTTGGACATTGGGTGAAACGCGTACTGAAACCACCACAATGGAAGGAAGGGGGACAGCAGATTCATCCAAAACTCATCCAGGCTTGGATCCAAGGATGATTCTGCACTATCTCAACTACCAATCCTGACTCTGTACTGTCAAGAATTCTTGACTCAACTCAACTCTCATTGAATCAGCTTGAAACAACTGTCAAGCACATCTTAGAGGCAGTAAGCTTCCAGCAAGCTTACACTCAAGTCCCGACTCAAGCTGCTTGGCGCGCCCAATTCAGCTTGAGGCGACTTGAAACAGAAGGCTAACACCAAACAAAGCAAGGAATTGTTGAAATTGCGAAGCAAACAAATAATACATTTCTGGAAATGCAATAGTCGATGGTCAGAAGTGACTCTATGGCTGATTCTGAAGATTTATGCGTCAGAAGGGGCTTCGAAATCACGCGAAGATGTCGGAGCCGATAATTAAAAGTAAATAAATAACATACCGATGCAGAAGATGTAGGAGTCAAGGAGGCCAGTGAAGCAGATCTCCGAGGCAGTGAGCGTCCAGCGGCACAGCTTGGGGTCCCTTATGCGCAGGCCCCCCTGCCCGCCCCACAGCAGCGGATCGTCTATCCTGCGAGCAGGCGGGTGAGGCACGGGGGGGGGGGGGGGGGGGGGGGGGGGGGGATGTGAAAGGGGTATCGAAGGAGATATTCCAGCTTGCGATCTCTGATGCGCACCCTCTGCCCGCCCCACTGCAACGGGTCGTCTATCCTGCGGGCGGGTGGGTGGGTGAGCCATGGGGTGGGTGGGTGACAGGCAAAGCACGGGAGGAATTGCGGGATTTGCAGGAGTGCAGGTGAGTTGAGGGGTGCAGGTAAGGCAGAGGTGTGTGATCAAGGGCAAACAAGAGACATGTGGAGGACACACGATGGCGACAGATCAAACCAAGAGAGACACGTGGAGGGCACACGATAGAGACGAATCAAACAACCCCTGCGAGTGAGAGAGCGAGGGGTTGGGGAAGCGGGCGAAGAGAGGGCGTGGGCAGGGGGTGCGAGAGAGCGGGGAATTGGGAGAGCGGGAGGGGGGGAGCGCGAGCGGGAAAGCGGGAGAGCGGGAGATGGGGGGCGGCGGGTGCGCAGATCGGGAGCCAATCGTACGTTGCCATGTGGTTGCTGACGGTGATGAGCGGCGTGCCAGCTGGCCGCGAGTTAACCAGATCCAGCAGCGTCTGCTGATTGGTCACCTCCATGCGATTAAGAACGTTCATGTAAAAGTACGACAGCGAACTAATCGTCGCGATCGCCACGCGCCTCGGAATGCCGAACAGGTGCGACGCCTCCGCGGGAGGCGCCAAGGCCCCGGAAATCCAGGAACTCGCGCCGCGCCGGCCTTGCGTAGCTGCCGCCGCTGCTGCTCGAGCCGCGGCCGACGCGGCTGCGGAGACGAGCGGCTTCGACGCTCGCACGCCGTTGCTCATGGTCACTGCGCTTCGACGTCTAGACGATCGTCGGTTCGTGAATACGCATTTCCCGTTTAGACGTTCATCCTGGAACGGTCAGACGTTTCGTTTCATGCTATAATACCAGAACGTGGCATTTATATCGGACTGCGTCAGGTGTTCGAATGTACACGGGTGAAGATTCAGTACAGTGTAACGCGTACTTATAATAACTCCAAAACCTCCGAATCCGTGAGGCTCGAGCCGCTCCAGTCACAAGTCTACATCGAATCGCCTCCGTCTCCTCAGCCGCATATCGATTGTTGCCTCATTCCGTCGGGACTGGAATCGAAACACGATCTAAAGCGCGAGAGCCGAGGTTCACCTGTCCGTTGCCAGGATGACAGACGACAGAGATAAAAAGATCTGCTGTGAGAGAACGCAGACTGTGAGGAGGGACGTGGCTAGGATGGGAGAAGCTTTCAACGGCTACTTTCATACAACTCCACTTCCGTCACTGGTTGGCAATATCGAGGTCAGTGTGTTGCCGGACCTTTAGGACGTGGTATGTTGGGTGAACTCTACGTTGTGCTGCTCTGGAGAAGACTTTATTGTATCCAAGAACCGAGCCGAACGGTCGAGCGCGATTCTCAATTCCAGAATTGGGATTTCTAAATTCTGAATGGAAACTCGGGTTACTCGAAATCTCTACTGTGGTTCGAGCCTCAAGCATCGACTTTTGTGCCCAATGTACCACGGACTACGGGCACCCTGATACACGGAGAGCAACAATCAGCCAACCAGGACGAAAAATCAGACCAGAAGAGCAAAGAGTGGCCCATACAGGTTTCGAACCTGTGACCTTCGCGTTATTAGCACGACGCTCTAACCAGCTGAGCTAATGGGCCTGTCTTTCATGATCGTATAATTATATAAGACATTACCAAATGGTCCCATTCTCACTCCTTTCCGTGTCGCACACAGTATTCTGTTTGTCAGCTTGTCCACATTCCAACGGCTGTCCAACGTCAGCAGTCTTGCAGATGTGCGGGTATCGACGCCACTAACGACGACGTGCCACGTACCGTCCGATCTAGGGTAGCAACTCTCCCGCAAGCTCCTCTCACCAACTTCTTCTCCGCTCCATTTCTTCTTTCCAAGTTCTGCTATTAGCAGCCGCGGCCAATAGGATCCCCGAGGGGGGAGCGGGTAAGGGGATGAGGACGGATGGGAAAGACGGCAAGGATGGGAAGGATGGGAAGGACGGTGGGGAGCATGGGGAGCACTCGAGAACGCATTCGATGAAGAAGAAGATGGGATCGGTGCTGGGAAGGGCGGCCAGGATTCTCCCGCAGTCCACCAGCGGCGGCAAGGGGCTCGGCGCGGAGCGGCGGAGCGAGAGCGAGGTGGAGCGGCGCGTGGTGGAGGCGCTGCGGCGGCGGAGAGAGGAGGAGGAAGCGTCCGGGAAGAAGCGCATCGTGCATTTCAACACGCTGGTGATGAAATTCGCCAAGTCGGACGAGGCGTTCAAGCAGATCCGCAAGCAGTTCGACCAGTACGGTGCGCGCACGATCCCTCAAGGTTCTGAGGCCTTTAGAGGAGTTTTGAGCAGTTTTGAGGACCGTTGAGGCGCCTCAAACGCCGCCAAGTCGGACGAGGCGTTGAAGCAGATCCGCAAGCAGTTCGACCAGTACGGTGCGCGCTCCGAGCCGCATTCTCGAAGGACTAGATTCTAGGAGGAAGAGATTTTAGGATATTTATGGTCCCACGATTCACGTGAGAGCGCTGAACGGAGGACGGTGGGGGTAGCCCGTCGCGTCGCGTGTGTAGTTCCACGTCTGGCATTGCAACGCGCTGCAGCGCTCTGCAACGCTCTGCAACCGGGTTTCGTGGGTTGATATTGGTGCTCTCTCCCTCCCCTCTTTACCACCCACCCCTTGAATAGACAAGCACGCGAGCCAAGCGATAGACCTGGAAGAGCTTACGGCATGTTCCCGCCTTCCCCTTCCCCACCAACCACCCCTCCCCCGCCATCCCCTCCCTCCCCCGCCATTCCCCCCCTCCCCCTCTCCTTCCCCCCCAACAGACAAGGACGGTAGCCAGTCGATCGATCTGGAGGAGCTGTCGACGTGTTCTCCCTCCCCTGTCTCCCACCCTCCTCTCCCCCCCCTCTTCCCCTCTTCCCCTCTTCCCCTCTTCCCCCCCCTTCAACAGACAAGGACGCGAGCCAATCAATTGACTTGGAGGAGCTGCGGACGTGCCTGTCAGCGCTGGGCGTGCGGATAGAGGAGGAGGAGGTGATGCAGCTGTACCGCGAGGCGGACATGGACTGCTGTGATGGCATGCACTTCAAAGAGTTCATTCTGCTGCTCGCGCTGCTGTACCTGCTGCAGCCAAATGTACGTGTGTCTTGTGTCAAGCTCAACGTAGACGTGGCTGTGAAAGCCCAATGTTAATGCGGCTTTCAGATGTCTTGAGACATGGACTGCTGCGATGGCATGCACTTCAAGGAATCCATCCTGCTGCTCGCGCTGCTGCTCTACCTGCTGCAACCAAACGTACGTGAGGGTGTGGAAGGGCAACGCATGTGGGGGGCTTTCGTTAAGAGTAACTAACGAACGTGTTACCTTGGAAGGCTGCCTCTCAGAGGCGTCTCATGGATGAATTTGAAGGCACTTCGAGGACTTCCACCTGCGGCTTGCGCTGCTCTGCTCTACCTCTTCAACCAAACGCACGTGCGGCTCTGTTCTAGAGCCAGCCACACCCCCACCCCCTCTCATTGCAGTTTTCAAGTTCACACTCCCTTCTTTGTCGGTTTTTGAACCGTCCGCCTTTCCCATACGTTTAAACCATCACTCTTCCTTGTCCTTCTCTGCTCCCCTCGTCCCCGCACTCCCTTGGTGCTCCATTCGCATGATCCTTCACATGCTCCTTAACATGCTCCCGACCAGGCACACTTTGGTCTACCAGAAGTAGAGGAGGCGTTTGGGCTGATAGCAGACGCGTTCAACTTCTTTGACACCACGGGGGAGGGCTTCCTCTCTTTCTCCTGTAATCCTCTCCTGCCCCCTCATGTGCTCCCTTCCCTGCCCCACCAGGCACACTTCGGTTTACCAGAAGTGGAGGAGGCGTTTGGGCTGATAGCAGACGCGTTCAACTTCTTTGACACCACGGGGGAGGGCTTCCTCACGCAGGCCAAGGTGCAGGCCGCCATGAGCAGTGGCAGAGACTCGTCTCCCAGCCGCATCGCCGGGCAGAGATTCGGTGAGCAAGGGGACTGGTGAGAGTGTGGCGGGTGAGTGAGAGGAAAGGAGAGGGTTTGGGCATGTAGGTGGGTGGGTGGGGTGGGGTGGGGACGATATCACCACCAGAGTGCGCCATGCCAAAGGGCAAGGGGGAACGGCAGAAGCAGAGATGACAGCAACGACAGCGATAGCAACGACAGTGATAGCAATAACATGGGGGTGGGCGTGGGAGTGGGACTGGCTCTGCAGCAACAGCAACAACACTGTGCACTTACAGTGGGTGTGGGACAGGAGGAACAGTAGATGTGCTGCTGGTGGTAGAGACGTCTTCTGCTGCTACTGGCGCTCCTCCTGATGCTGCTGGTGCTGTCCTCCGAGATGGACTACAACACAGACGGGCAGTGCACGATCATGGAGTTCCTGATTGCCTGTCTCTCTGCCTCCCTTACTTTCATTCTCTCTCACGTGCACACACTTCCTCTCCCTCACACTCGCTCACCCCCCGTTACCAGCCGAGATGGACTACAACACGGACGGGCAGTGCACATTCAAGGAGTCCCTTATCGCCCATCTCGCTGTCTCCCTTCCTCTTCGTCTTCCTCTTACCTCGTCCCCTCGTTCCCTCGCTTCCTCACGCACATTCACTCTGGCTTTTGAGAATTCTAAAGAAACAATCCTCACGCACATTCACTCATGATCCATCAGCTGAGATGGACTAGAACACGTTCAAGGGGTAGTTCTTGCAACACGTTCTCACCCTCCCCCTCACCCACCTGCAGCTGAGATGGATTACAACACGGACGGGCAGTGCACGTTCAAGGAGTTCCTGTTCGCGTATGTGGGGTGGGTGGGCACTGCAGAGGAGGAGGAGGATGAGGAGGAGGAGGAGGAGAAGGAGGAGGAGCGCAGTAAAACCCCTAAAACCCCGAAAACCCCCAAGTCCCCCAGCAAGTCTCCCAAGTCGCCCCGCACTCCCAGGCATTCGGGGGGGCATAGATGAGGAAGAAGAGGAGATGGAGTTTGAAAATCAATGAGAGGAGGCCATGGGACGAGAATGAGGTGGGAGGGTTTATGGCACAAGGGATGTGGCACACGTGTTCCTCTCTGCACCTCTCTGCATCACTCTCCACCACTCTCCACCGCTCTAGTGTCACTCAGGGGGCGTTGCAGCGGCTGCTAGTGCAGCGGGTAGGAAGGCGAGAAACGCCTGCCGAGAGATCTATGGAGGAGAGAAGCAGACTAGCAGCAGTGGCATTGCCAGCAGCAGAGGGGTGGCTGGGAAAACGGCGTGGTTTAGAGTGTGCATGTGCTGCCGTGGGAGCAAGCAGGCAGTCGCTGGTGGAACTTTAAAAGCAGTGGGAGGGCTAGCAGCAGCGGGACGGAGCGTGAAATACCGTGATTTGTGGGTCTTCATGTGCTGCCACGGGACGGGAGCAAGTTGAGCAGCGAGGAGACACAGAGTGAGCTTGAGTGATTATTCGTAGAGTTCTGAATGAGGAGACGAGGGGGGGGGGCGGGGGGGGGAGGGGGGAGGAAGCGCTTTTGCTGTTCTCCTCAAGACAAGGCTTGTGAGGGAGGTGTGTG